GAAAATAATGTGTTTTTTGAACCTTAAACCGCATAAACGCATTTCATTACACCAAATACACAGAATAATGTTCTTTTTAGCAACATCATATGACCCCTTTAATATCTCTTATTAGTCGAGCCGCTGAGCTTTTCAAGCGAAGAGCAGAATGTTTTTATTTTCGTGTTTTAAGCGCTCTCTTTAGTTTTACGAGATGGGGTTTGTTTTGAGCCTTTTGCAGTAGAGCGAATCGATCACACTTTTGAGAAAAACCTGCAGCGTTCGGATACACCCAAACCTTCTTGGCCCCTCATACGCCTGAGAAACAATTTTAAGTGGGATTTTAAAACATGCCGTAACTGTTTCCAGAAGTATTTCTGTCTTTTTTTATTTCTCATGGAATCATTAATTCTGAGAAGACTTGCAATACCACTCTTTGATTTATCTATTTTCTCAATTACTTCTTTCAATACGTTCCTTCTCTCTGTCTTTTTTTCTCACCTCTATGGTATTTTAGGTCATAATAGCGTGTTTGCTGGCGATTGATAAAATATGCGGGCTTAAAAAAAGAAGGTGAGCACTAGGGAGGGCTCTTAAGTGGCCGTTATCCTGATTTATTTGGCCTGGGTGTGGAGGCCCTGTTGCACGATAAAACTTCTTCTCACTTCCACAGAACAGAATGGACTTAGAGAGTTATATTTCACAGTGCCTACAGTAAATCAGCCAGAGGATGGCTACAGAGCCACTGCTAAAGCCATTTGCAAGCCCCTTTCGCTCACTGGATCGCAGAGGATCCGCAGCCCGCTCTGGGATCTGTCCTTCTGAATGGCATGTGATCATTGATCTTCATTTTTTTAAGATTCACAAAACCATTATTTTATCTCATCCTTCCTTGAAAATCGCACGTCGGTTTCAAAATCAGTTCTTCTTTTGTGTTCACGTGTGTAATTAATTGCTCGTGCCGTTGTGCATTACAGCAGAAAAATTACTTTAATTTGATTCAACAAATTACACTCTTCCCTCCCCTAGCCTGAAATGAGTTCGTTCTATTCCAAATTAAGCAAGCTTTTGAAGATTAAACTCATTTATGGTGCAGGAAATGTATTTTACTTGTACCTCAGGGGGCTAAACATAATGAATATTTGAAGCGATTATTTTAATTAAAGTCCTTTGAATCTAAATGGGGTAATATGTTATAACTGTTCGCCTGACTGTACATTCATTAAAAGTGAGCATTTTCGCACACACCGAGAGAAAACACAAGAGCCCAAGATGGAAAAGAGAGAGATGGCGAGCGAGGAAGAACTGGAGTTTTCTTTACATTGATAAGAGGTGCAAATTGGAGGGAAAAATGGCTGAAGGCGAAGGACATCGAGTCAAATGTGCTGCCTTTCCTGAGCAGTTCTGCTGTTAGGTGTCCTGCTGGGCTCAGAAATGAGCCTGGAACCACAGCGCTGCCTCATTCTGTCTGTCTCTCTGTGTGTGTGAGTGTGTGTGTGCGTGTGCGTGCGTGTGTGTGTGTGTGTGCGTGCGCGTGTGTGTGTGTGTGTGTTTGCTGGAATGCTGTGTCAGCAGGCTGATTCTCAGTGTGATGTATTTAGCTCTCATCTCACCTTCTTGAGGTGTTGCAAAAATCTGGGGCTCTTCTTCAGTGTTTCTCCCAAGGACAAACATTTCTGGAGTGCTGTGCTTTTGTGACTTCTAAAATTAGAACACACATGTATCATTTTAACAGTTTTGTTCCACTGCTATAGGCTAGGTAGACTGAATAAATTGGTAATTATTTATTTAATTGTGTGTGTGTGTGTGTGTGTACTTTTTGTTGTATTTGTAAATTATATTATTTTTATTGTATAACACTTTCTCTGTGAATTGTTTAGCTTGAAAACTAAGTTAAATTGTAATTATCGTATTTTATTATTGACAGTCACTTTTTAAAGTGTGTTCAAACATTTAGGGCCAATATATGTGTCAATCTGATTATGTAATTTTAAACTTTACAAAATTATACAGAATTTATCTACTGAGATAATGTACAATGCAATCCAGCCTTTATTTTAATGTGCAATATTGCATAGTGTTCACCCCAAAAAATAAAAAACTCGTAAGTAGTTGATTTAAATGTAGATATTTAATAAAATGTTGGAAATTATTATGATTGTTGTACTGTTAATATGTTTGATATGAAAGAAAATAGCCCTTTAAAACAATCTAAAAAAAATTTTTATTTTTTTTTATTTTTTGACAACAAACATTTTCACAGTCCAGGTATCTTTTATTATTAACCATAATTATCATAAGTGTCTGATGTCAGCCATTCTCCAGTTTAGGCACCTTGCACTGAAGAAGGCTGCAGCCAAACAAGACCAGTATTATGCAGCTCTTCCTGTGCCACTTCTCACTGCATTGGGTAATTACTAACATATGTGCCTCTCTCTCTCTCTCTCTCTCTCTCTCTCTCTCTCTCTCTCTCTCTCCCTCTCCCTCTCCCTCTCCCTCCCTCTCGGCAGCAGACCGCGGGAGTTCTGGCGCCTGGACTACTGGGAAGATGACCTGAGGAGACGTCGGCGCTTCATCAGGAACCCGTTTGGGTCCACACACTCTGAGGCCACGCTCAAGGCTGCAGCAGAGCATGGTGGGTAATGCATAGTCACATAACATCATGCATGCACTTACACTCTTTCACGCACAAAACACAGCCCAGTTTGTTGAGCTTTTACCCATGATAACAGGTACATGGCTGTAACAATAAAAGCTGAAAAAAAAAGAAAATGAAAGCCTTTATTAAATTAAATTACATTACATTACATTCTCTCACTGTCCTCAGGCCTTGTCTCTCTGATAATATTATGGCAGTAATTTGCTGCTAATGTGTTTGCTTACCATGTGCATTTCCTTCATTAGCTCAGATACTTAAGTAGCGCTAATTGTTCTTAAATTGTCACTATGTGTTCCTTCCTTCCCATGCATGTCAGCTGCTGGTATTAAAGGTGAGTAAAGTTGTGAAGTTCATGGGAGAGCTAGCAGCAAAGGGTTTTGTGTTTGTATTAGATATGTGTTCATCAGTGTTGGGGATTTTAGTTTAAAAATGACAAGCTACTCATCATTTAGAGATGTTAACTACTTTTACAAACGAGTATTGTTGTTGTAGTTTATCTACACTACGTGCTACTAACATTATTACTGTGTTGCATCTATATAAGGGGGCGATGTCTTAAAATATGTAAGTATCCGATATATAGTTTTTATTTCATTTAGAGCAGTATTTCTCTGCTTCACAAACAAGAAGGATTTTTAAATGAATGAAGGTAATTTTGGGTGACAGCATTAAACATAAACACTTGTGTGTGTATTCGTGACTAAAACAGCAATGAGCAGCAACTTTTAACTAAATATTTTTAGGTCTTCTATGTAGAGATTTGAATCAGTGAATCCTTTCTATTTCGTAGAAATCATAGGTGCGTTGGATGAAATTTCAATATAAACAATGGCAAAATATGTGTGTGCGGGATCCAAATTTTTCTACTTAATCTGGTTCAAAATATAACACATAAAGCACATACTGTAACAGTGTGAAACAAGTTAAGCAGAAACGGTGTGAAACAAATCATGCTACATTGTTAACATGTATAAAGTAATTCAGGATAAAGTATAGCTTGTTACTGAAGAAGTTATAGCCTACTGTTAAGAAAACAGCTGAGATAATGAAAAAATCCAGTTAGTACCGTCACTAGTTAATTATAGTTTGTGACTCCTCAGCACTAAATGTATCTACTAGTGAAACAACATATAACTTGAACAATTTTGAAAAAAACTTTATTGTTATTTATCTTGCAAAGTTGAAAAACACTTCTTGAATGAGTTCTTATAAGAGTATAAACTCAGTGTACTAAAGAAATAAAACTTGTTAGTTCTATCATGAAAAGATGTAAGAGTTCGCATGCATATGTAGGCATAATATTGTTGCAATGTAGTTTCCTTTTTTGCAGAATGCAGAATGAATCAATGCATTTTTAATTACTCACTTTAATAAGAAGAGGAATTTAAAAAGCCCCTTCGGTTGTTTTCCATCCAATTACTTGATTTATATCAAATGTGCATAATTTATTACATAATATTTGTTTCTCATTCATTAAAGAAGTCATCCCATTTGAAAAATGCATCATACACTGTAAAAAAAATTCCGTCAAATTTACGGTAAAAAAACGGCAGCTGTGGTTGCCGGAATTTTACCGTAAAAAATACGGTAGCAACGTTTTTGGTTTTACGGTTTTAACTTAAATTTACAGTTAAATACCGTAATTTCATTAACTGATATAATGTTAATATACCAACCTATTGAAGTACTGAAAACTACCGTAAAATTAATGTCCAATACATGTAATGTCCAATACAGTTTTTCACCGTATATAGTAGGGGAATTTACCGTTAACCATTTAACAGGTTTTTACTGTAGCATTTTTACAGTCTTTTACCGTTAAATTCACGGTCATTTTTTACAGTGTATAATCCACAATGAACTCTACATATTTATAACAATATAATGAGTTATCCATTCTGGGTTGGTTTTTACCATGTTATCGCAAGTAAACTTGAGGTTATTAAACTCATCGGGCTTTTCGCTCTCCTACCCTCATTTAATGTCTTTACAATTGCTTCTGTGTTCAACACATTCACCTTGCATTGAGATGTACAGCAAGTTCATCTGATTTTAATCCGTTCCTCTCTCTTTTGTATTCGTTATATTAAACTGAGCTCTGCTTCAGTGCAGCAATGCGTATACAGCATGTGAGAGTTAAAATGTTTAAAAGTTTTAGCCACACTGAGAGATGGCAGGCTTTACGATCAGTGCCATTCAGTACTTGGGCTTGAGCAGCTTAACCTATTGCACCCCTCGGAAATGGGGCCGTTTCTGAGAAAAAATGTCTCCAATATGTCACTGCTTAGACCCCCTCAGAATGACATGGGTCCTCAAGACAAACGACCGATGTGACAGAAGTCAATAAGAATGTGATCTAAAAGCAATAAGTGCTCAAAATCCCAGCATCCTCAGAGACCAATGTGCCGCCCTAATGGTCATAATATGCAGCTGGATGGAGGGCCCTGAGGGGACCCAGTGATTTCTCTTTTTGCTCCGTCCTCCACTTTTTCTTCTCTGTATTCTTCTCTTTTTCTTTTGCTAACTTCAGACTTGGTTAAGTTCAAGTGTTCCTTAAGGAACACTTTGGATCCCCTTTGAAATGGAACCTAAAACTTTGAGGCCTTAAAACTCTTCATTATTCTCGAACGTTTCCCCAGTGACCATCCAGCGTAGGAAATAATCAATCCATCAAGTATTTATGTGCATATATTAATTGTCTGACAACTTTACCTATAAACCTGTATAGGATAAACACACACACACACACACAAACTATTATGACTCAAGTGCATATTTAATCAATAATTTAGTATTGTAATGAAGTATATGATTCTTAACTCAAAATAAGATGTGATTATGGAAAGTGAACCAACAACAGAAAGCAGTTAATTGATGCTCATGACACTGATGTTTATCTACCCCCTCCTCCATAGAAAGCTTGTGTCTTTTCTGCTGACCCTAAATTTGTTGCGGAAGTGGAATGAAAGTCTTGGCCAAGATCTCAAGTTTTCAAACAGAGCACAAGGGTCATATCTGGCTGTGATTATTCTCATGACATGTGAAAGAGAAAGTCAAGAATATTTTTTATTAATTTTTTTTTTAAGAGCAATTTTGTGACATTTTTGGCAATCCAATAGGTCATATATAGGTCACTTTTCTCTATACTTAAAATTTAGTTGGCAGAAAAAATATATACAATTTACATTTGGGCATTTGGACGTATAAGGCATCACAGTTTAATTTTTATTTATTTATTTTTTTTAAATAACAGCGGTGTCCTGGCATTTAAAAGAAACAGCATTTCTTTTTGATGAATATAGAAAGGCTTGCTTGCAAATTATTTTAGTTTCATCAGTCAAAATACATCATCATATCAAAACTTTTACAATTACGATCATTCATCGCCAGCCAGGAAACAGCGGTACGATTTACACCCCTAAGGCGGATGCTGGTAGTTTGGTAAGATATGTATGTATTTATGGCTGGAAAGCGCCATCTTTTCTGGGGATTGATTTGGCTTGGTGTGGGCTGGTGTTGGGCAACTCATAGGAGTGTAAATACCTGAAGACTAATGTCTCTGTTCCTGTGATCAATACGCACCTCCTGACTTCACTCCTGGCTGCTCTTGTGTTAAAAACAAATTTGTTAATTCTGACAATTTAATTGCTTTGCCTCCAAAGTCGCATATAAATGAGCATTTGAACCTGCAAGGAAAAGGGAAACAGCTTAAAAGTGTAACGCAACTGCATGTATTTACATTAGCATTTGCTGAATGAGGGGAATGAATGAGTTATTTAAGTAAAGCTGATGTATGAATATAATCTTACAGCACGGGTTTTTGACTCGTTTAGGGCACTCGCACAGTTGTTCTTCATTCCAGTTTTTATTAACACTTTTTTTTAGTCTACTAGGTATCCGATGTTTGATTGAACAGCATTATTTAAGTGGATGTGCAGAATACATGAATACATGTCATTTTAAAGCCAAAAGAAAATTTGGTAAAAAAAAATGTAAATGATGTTAGTGACTTATATTAATTTTCATGTTTTTTTTTAATTTATTCTTTTACTGTCTGATATCTATCTATCTATCTATCTATGCATTAGGAAGCTGGTAGTAATTTCACTGCTGCTAACTACAAATTCTCTGGGGAGAGTTAATTACAGGAAGACCGTTCTAAATATCAGTGCGCCAGCATACTTTCCATGACAAGAGATTTCTTTGCTCTGCTTTTCTAATGGTCTAAGGCTCTATTTATAAAGACTTGTCTCAGGGTTTTGCTTCAAGTGCAAATTCAAACCCCCTCAGGTGATGTATCTGGAGAGAGGGGGCAGAGGTCACATGGCTCTCCGTCCACACGGTTCTGGACTGGACTCAGTGTAGCTCCGCTCGGCCGAAGCAGTCTGATGAGAGTGTTTACGTAGATTAAGGATTGCCTTTGTTTCTACTGTAGACCCGTTTTTGCCCCTCACCACTTGGGAATGCAGTGCTCTGTAAATGTTTACAGATTACCATTTTTCTTAAATAATCTATGCAGAACCTCAAGTCATGTACAGTTGAAATCAGACAGGGCCACTCCTGATTTTTGTCAGAGTAAGCATGGCATGTGAACCAGAATGTCTGTTTCGGTTTAATTGCAATTCAAAAAGTTTTAATGCCAACAAGTAGCTCTGTTATTATATATATATATTAGGTTTTTAGACTTTAAATCTATATATGAATATTAAGCCCATACACAAGCATATCCTTTTTAGATTTTCTTTACTAATAGAATCAGAAAGTCTATTATGGACACGCACTTTGGTCAGCTGAATGTGTATTTTCTTTGATTTTAAAGATATTTTATTATTTCTGATTATCAGGTAAAACAACATGCCAAATTACAAAGAACCATGTCCTAAATAACAATCTGGTTTTGGTGAAAATTCAGCTACACCTTTTTCACAAAGATCGACTTTTTTTTTAATCAAATACACATTAATTTCTCCATGCCAATTCTATTTGCCGTCATTATGTTTAAATATTCAAACTATTAACATAATGCAAGTAAAAATTTTTAAGTTCGGATCCAAAAAAGCCCAAAAATAAATGGGCTAGTATAGTCTTGATGTGTTGTTGTTATCTTGACTCGAGGCCATGTAGGACAAAAAAAAATACATTACAGTATTGCGCTTAACACGTGTTTATTCATAGTTTAGAATTTTATTATAAAATATTCAAAAATCATATGGCTGTATTGTATAATAACAACCAACGCATTTTGTAAATTATTTATTTATTAGCTCTTGTGCAGTCAACTTACCCGAGTAGAAGTAAACTGACAGTCGTTTAAAGTTTTTGCGCGATTAAGCTTGTCTTGAAGGAATTTGATGTGTTTGGTTTTGTGCAGCTCCAGAGGAGGACGTGCTGAAAGGCAAACAGTCCATCAGGAGTTCAGTGCTGGGGAATCAGAACTCGGAGAGTGAGCTGCTCTTGGAGGACGATGACACTCTCTCATCCTTGGACGAGAAAGACTTGGAGAACCTCACAGGTAAAGAACTGCAGCCTAGCGACGCACCACGACAAACTAGAACGCTCTCATATACGCTGCACGCGCCAGTGACTCTGTACGACGCGCTCTGCACTGGAGGCTCCGCGTGTTGTCACAGCGTTCTAGTCTGTTGCGTCGCGCTCTGGCGCGTCAGCGTTAATGAGGGGATCACAGCATTATCTGAGGCAGTCCTCGCTCATTAGCGGCCTGTGATCGGAGGAGTGAGGGCTGAACAGCGCTGGAAGGCCCACAGTCATGACAGGAGTCTCAGTGAGCTAGTCCCTGCTTTAAAACAACTAATACATCATTTTCGTTTTACGTATACAGTTTATATAAATAAAGTCGGGGTAAAATATAAATGAAAATATTTTGAAACGCAATGCTTAAATGTCTTGCTTTCGTTTCATTAGCTCATCACACTTTTATTCCAGTCTAATTGCTGACGGCTACAAGCAGAAAATAGTTAATTTTGTTAGAAATTTTGAGTTAAAAACCACGTTCATACTTGGATCTCATATTTTTCAGTGATGAAGTGATAAACGGGACTGTTTTAGGCTTCTAGCAGTGTAGGTTTTAATGTAAGACCAAAAATGCGTGAGGAGGATAATTAATCAAACACAATTGTTATATTTATATTAATATTTATATATTTTTTATAGTGTACACTTTAATAATCTGTTCAGCCGAACATAGCTAAATTGGATTTTATTCCATGCTTTTTTTTTTTCCCCATTAACGCGTTTATAATTTTTTTTATCTCATTTGGGCTGGCAGTCTGTCCTACAATAAAAGACAATCTCTCTCAAATAAAGTGCAAATGATCGTGGAGATTCGTGTCGTTGCAGATCATCCATTTAGGAAGCTGTTTGATTGAGGTGTAATTGAAACGTGTTCCGCTTTAGCGGGGGAAAAAAACCCCGTGTTGTGTCTCAGCCGTGTTTCGTGCTGATGAACTTATCTGATCATGCCAATGCGTTTGTGAATTGAAGGGTGCTTTGGGAAATCAAACATGGAGTGCAGCGGCAGTTTGCAGGCGCATAGCCGATGCTTTGCGCATGTAGAGAGGCAGAAATTCCCCAGAGCAACCCTTCAACATTGTCATGCTGGCATAAATTAAGACTGATGACAGATTAAACCCAAAGCCGCAATCAATGAGCGCTGATTGACAGCGGATTTCAGCGCTTTTTTGACATTGCGACAATACCGTTTCTATGACAGATGAAGCGCTTAAATATGCCATTGTGCACGAGATAATCCTATTTATGGATTAGGTTAATGAAATTGCTTTTTTTTTAAATACTGTATATTTTAATTGAATATTTTTTATTAATTGTTCAATGAATGCATTTAATTTATTTGTTTACATTTAACAAATCTTTTTTTTTTTCCATGTTTAGTTCCTAAACAGTAATAATAAGAAAGTTGTAATATTATGATATTTTGTTAATAAATTGCATGCAATAAAGTATAGATTAAGCCTAAAGCAATATATTTATATTGTGTCTAGTGTTTATTATTGAGTGATCATTTGACTAAAGCTTTATTATCCTCAAATGAATGTAGCTTTACTTGGCTTTTCCTCTCAAGCTTATTAAAAACTAAAGATGTTCTATCAGGAAGTCAGTATGCACCCTTGTTGAGTTTATGTGTTCGAGTAAACACTCCGTACTCCTTTGAAAGGATTTCTATGCCAAGGGTAGCAGAGGATGGGGGAGGCGCGCACACACACACACACACACACACACACACACACACTAACCGCTGTGCTCTTCTGTGATCCGTAGGGCCTGTTAACCTGAGCACCAGCGCACTGTTGGTTGCACCCGCTGTAGTGGTAAAAGGCACACTGTCCATCACGGCCCTGGAGTTATACTTTGAGGTGGATGAAGAAGACCCGAGTTTTAAGAACACTGATCCCAAGGTAAGAGGGTTTCTCATCCAAAATGACTCCAATTGTCCCATGAGCAGTGCATACTAAAAAATGGAGCGACTAGCTGTAGTATAACCAAAGTCCTTTAATGTGCATTCACAACACCAGTATGTGTAATTTTGTTAGTTTTTTTTTTTTTTTTTAAATATATAACTACCTTTCCTCGAAGGGTTTGAGTACTAGCTTTTTGTGGTCATCTTATCTTGCAGAAAATATTGCTTTCTCTTTCCTTATAGCATGTTGCATGTGTTTCAACTGTTTTTAACATATGTGGGTCAAGGCTATTAAAGTGTAACTTGCCATCACCGTTGGCTTGTCGCTGAGGTGTGCCACTGAAAATCCTGACTATTAAGGCACAGAAGAGGATGAGTTAATTTGTTACGTTCTTCTGAATGCTTGATTCACTAGGACTTTTGTTTTGCCTTTTGAAGAGCAAAGTATCAACTTTCAATATTTCCTTAACTATCAAATTCCTTTTCTGTTTACGCACTTGGCATATCTTGCTTTCAATAAAGTTGTTTTCCTAAAATCTATATTAATAATATTTTGCTGTTTTTACTATAGTAACAGAATTGTGAAGTAAAATGGTTACTTTTGTCAGAATAAAATAGCTATATGGGTTTTAGTAGATTATTTATTTGTTTGTTTGTTGCCAAACATTGTCTAAGCATTTCTTTCAGTAGGCTGTTTAATTCTAGGGTGCTTTTATTTTTACAATTGATAATAAAACAAGATTTTTGTTTTTAAACGGGGGTTTCCAGAGTAAATGAACAGATTTCTTTACTCCCATCATTTGGCCTATTTTTATTCAATCGAAAAAATTAAAATGCAAAGTGTCTTTATTTGAACATGTTTATATTTTATGTAATGCTGAATTGATTTTAATCAGTGCGATGAAGTACTGTTGGTCTGTGTGAGAGATCGGCTGTTTACGTTTTCTTTTGTAGTGTAAATGGTCTTGGTTGTTTCACAAAAGTGCGATCCAGTATTGCTATTATTTTTAAAATACGCCCATCTTTATTTTATTGCTCGTGTCTATTTCCTAAATCTTCTTTTTTACTTTACAGCAACAGGCCACGTGTATTTTCCACGTTTCGTTTTCTACGAGTTAAACTGAATGGCCAGTCCACAAAGACACACACTGTCCTAATATTACTTTTAGCTATACTTTTGTTTAAGTAGCGAAGACAAATCACAAAACTATATGCTTGATTATTTATGCATCTAGCTTATGTAATGTAATCCCATTAATGTCAGCAGTTTTTAATTGAGTAATGACAAATGCCAAGTTTAAATTTCATCGTGTCATGATTTTATTACACGTTTCAATTTTTGATCACATCATGAAAGAAATTGAACTTGGCACGCTACATTTTGTAATTCGCAATTAAAGATCTTGTGCATATATTTAAATAAAATGTTCACTTTGTGAAAAGAGTTCAAACAAACAACAAAATCATTACACTTAGTTTAAAATGTACCTTCATTTCGCTCTCCTGCAATGTCCCGTTTGAGCCTTGGCAAAAGCAAATGCTTCGGCGTGTTTTATTTTAATATTTTATTTTCTTGGTTTCATTACTCGGAGAGCACCACGATCACATTCTCTCCACTTTCAGTGTTGTGATCTCAAGCGTCCGTTAACATTCACCGACATAAAATGTCCTCCTTTTGCATCTCACAGTTTATCCAAACTTTTCGCGTTGGTGAGGATTTCTCTGGCCAGTCTCCAGGTCTGTTTGGCCGCTGTCTCCAGGCCTGAGTGTGGTTTACCCTGAAACAGGTCTAGATTGGGTAAGAAGTAATGTGGGCACCGGCGGCACTGCAGACAGGAGATGAGCTGCAGCAGAATACCGTTCAGACGGTCGCCGAGGCACGACTCGTCCCAGTCAGTCTCCCGCGGGTGTTTCTCGCACTCGTACATCAGCAGGGTCTTCATGTGGTAGTTATTGAGCGGCTGTCCCGGCAGCTCGAGGTGTCGGTCACGGAGAGTCTTTAAAATAGAGAGACATTTCTTCCTACAGCCCGACATCAGAAGCCTGTTCTCGGCCTCGGCGAACTGCAAGACCCAGGCGTCGCTTTCCGCCGAGCTCTGTTTCCCCGTTAACGAGTAGCACTCTTTAGAGAGGAGGTTAAACCCCTCCGCTTTCACCTCCGCCACCCGGTTTGGCCCGGGCCACGGGATGTGAGGCATGGGCCACTGAGCGGCACTTCTAGGCCAGATGCCCGTGCACTTGAAGGCCGGGGTGATTTGCACCACGTATCTCTCCCGAATGCGCAGTTTCACTTCGCTCGTGTCCGCCACCATCTTAACCACGTCCCGGTAGCTGCATTTATCCACGGCCTGGGCCACCAGCGTCTGAAAGCGGGAGCGGATCTTTCGCGCCGACAGATAACCGGAGGCGGTGATGAACTCCACCCACAGGGACATGCTCCTCTTACGGCCGTCGCTGAGTTTGAGCACCGCGCAGCCCGGCAGAGAGCCGTCATCCACGAAGTTGAAGACTCCCATCTGGTTCAGGTAAAGCACGACCTCGAACTCGTTGGGCGCGATGACCTCCATGCCCTCAAAGCGCGTGTCTATCTCGCTCAGGGAGCTGATGAAGCGGGGCTCCTGAACCTCCACCTCCTTCAGCACGTCCGACACCACCTTACACACCTCTCGTATGGTCTTGGCGATGGCCGCTTTGCGCGCCTGGCATCTTTCGTTGTAATATTTATTGAGCTGGTAAACCAGCTTTGCTTGCGTTGCAATCATATTGGGGCACAGATCCGGACTGTAGACCGGAGTTTCGCAGTACGCCGATGGATCCAATGCTTACCGGTGAAAACTCCCAGCAAAGAGAAAAAAAAATGAAGTGATGAAGTTAGCGCCCACAGCGGATAGACGTCAAGTTTGGACCAGGAAACGGATGGATGCAACGCAGTGCGACTTTAACAACTCGACTTGAAACGGTTTTAAGGGTTTAAGCCAGTATCAGCTGCAGGATAAATCTCCGCGCGTCATGTCATCATCTCTCTCACTTGTGTTTGCGCGTGAAAACTGTGCGCCAGTGTGCAGTTGTCCAGACTCAGCCCTGAGTGTTGGAATTGTTTAGTTTATGAATGGTCCTCTAGCTGGAGTGAAAAGGGGACGGGCATCGGTTCTTGGCCAATCAGCGGGGGAGCTGTCAGTGCAGTTGGCCAATCGCAGCCTCGGTGCGCTGAAGAGACTCTCTCCTCCTGAACATCCAGCGCTCGAGCCGCGGCGCCTTCAGGTTAGGCTCTACAGACGGCATTAAGAGCACACATTTAACCTAGAAGCCTTTACATTATTTAACCTACATTACAACGATTTGACATGTTGAGAGATTGTTATTTCACTGTGTGTATATTTGATCGTACGGTGGAAATATACTAATTTTTTAATGCATGTTTGTTAGGTGTTTTTTTTGTTTTTTTTTTTACATAGAACTCAATTATGGTCTTTAAAAAGTTAAATTAAACAAGATATAGTTTTTGCCACTGTAAGGTTATTGACCGCGCACTGCTAGTGTTGTATTCTTCCACCGCAATTTCATCTTATACTCAAAAAGCTGGATACTGCTTTAAATCGATCAAACGTGTGTGTGTGTGTGTGTGTGTGTGTGTGTGTGCGCGCGCGCTCATGGTCGCATGGTAGTGGAGATGTAGCTTCTGTAATATTGTGATAATACCAAAAACATGCTGATCCAGATTGGCCGAACTGTTTTCTAATTCTTCAGTCTGTTCGTATACAATTGCAACACAATCAAGCGTCTTACAGATGACAGCGTTTAACACTAGATAGAGTTTTATTTTTAATTTCTCATAGCGCTTATGGTCAGTAAAATTAGGAGCGTAATGAAACGCTTTTAGAGACTGATATGTTATTCGGTGTTATTGTAATTAGATGGCAGTGAGCTGTAATGAATTGGGGTTTAGAAACGCTCCAGTTGCGGATGTATGAGCAACCTGCACATGTATATATATATATATAATAAAAAGCGCATAAAAAATAAAGTTGGGCTGACATTTTTTTTTCTTACAGTTATAGCTGAATTCGTACATTTTCTTTAATTTTCTTAAAGAAACAAATGTGTTTATTTACTTCGTTGGTTTTTGTGTGTATTCTTTTGATGCACATAATTTACTTTTCCTTTTTTGTTTTGTATGTGTGTGTGCGTGCGTAGTATTTCTCGATTTTATTTACTTACCTTTATAGACATGAACACAGTTGCTTTCCGTTCGCTCTCTGCATGCATTGCTTTCATTAAAATAACTTTCTTAAAATGCTTGAAATTTTTAACATCTTTTTTTTCCCATCGTTGCTCAGTTCTCGCTGGAGACTCTGAGCAGCATCTCATCGGCAGCGTAGCGTATAGGATGAATAATTTAGAGAGGAGAGATTGTTTGGCGTGTAATTGAAGTCTCTTATCAAGCCAGACTTCATGTTGTATGAGTTCAGCTCTCATCACAGTTGTCTTAACGACAGGCTTACGAGAAGCTCTGCAGATATAGCGCTGCGTGCTGTAGGATGCGTTGCGCTAAATGAGGCCATTCAGATCATCGATCCGTCGCGACTGAGTGTGTGTACAGTGAGAGAAACGAATGTCAGGGGTTTGTGTTGTTAAGCCCATCAGAGAGTTTTATTTCTCGCTCGTTTGTTAGAATCACGCGGAGTTTTATCTAATTACACAAACATTGTTTTTACTCCTAAACCAAGTAAAACGAAATCATGGTCATGGATGATGATTAATATTTCTACAGCTATGTGATTGGAATGCATTTTACTTAATATTTCATTTTCATTTAAATTAAAAAAATTAGACGTTTTTGTTGGAATAAAAGAAAGTCCAACAGATATTTGCTATGGGAATCTCCAGTCATTTTATGGTTTATATGACTTTGTTCTGTAATGGTTAAGAAGTTAAGTTAATTGTAGAATGCTACACCTTAAATGAATCGTGTGTTGCTCTAATATTGTGGATTTGTAC